ATGGAACGACTACCAACAATTTAAAAACTCTTTAATTCGTTTAGTAATGCTTGGAATGATTTTATTAAATTATTTTCCTAGTATCGCTCGTCGATAAATGGCCTCGATTTGCCCATAGAAAGTGTAGCAATTTCTTTTTACAACTTCTAGTTACAATAATTTAAACATTTATTTGGCATAATCAGAACCTCGACATCCAACCATTCGCAATCATTTTAATTTAATAATGCTTGGAATGATTTTATAAAATTATTTTCCTAGTATCGCTCGTCGATAAATGGCTTCGAATTCTTTTTATATCTGCCACCTTCAACAATACGAGCGTATTTAGTTTTTCAGCACTTGCAAGATGGAGACGTCCGAAGCATACGATCTGTTACATAAATTACGATCCTCGATGAGTCTCAATTTTCCAAGGACTACGATGCATCCGTATCTATCCCTATTTCTATCTGCTTATGGTATCTTGGCGGCCATCTTGGAAAAAAAAGTTGCTTTCCAATAAATTCTCAGCTGCATCGAGCTAACGGAGTCGCAGGAATTCCCTGAAGATCGTAAGCTCGATGACCCTACGGTTAGTCATCGTTCTCTATGGTTCTCTATGCAACGGGCGAGGATAATACTATCGCCAAACAGGAATCGAGGTTCTCCTTGAACGGTCAGGGGAGGGTGACGCTCGTAAAAAATAGCGACACTTTGATCGATCGTCTCTTGTATTGGCGAGCGTGCATAATGATCTTATCACGCGCAGCTGTCAGTAGAAGGATGTTACTCGAGATGGCTGGGATTTCTAATTGGCTATCGATTATTACAAAGTCTTTCCTTTTATTTTCGCCATTTCTAATCCCAGATGCTTTTATCGATACAAGATAAAATTTCTATTATCGTTTTTATTATTATCCCGTGTAAAGTATCCGAATTACATTGGTATAGTTCTCGCAACGCAGCAGACGTGCAACAGATGGTACAGGGGAACTTAAGATGTTCGACCTTTTTGCGTGACCCCAGCGCGTTGAATACCACGTCGATCCGCGGTAGCTGACTACACGTTTTCTCGCAATGTAGCTTGCCGATTTCCTTTTAAGCTCTCCCTACGCGTGGATCTTGACACTTAACGAGGACCTTGAACTCTTGCTTACGTACAAGGTGAGCCACGCAAGTGCAACTGGTCTTACCTACCGTTGAACATAGACGAAAATGGCGGAAGAACGATTCGAATGCTGTAACGAGTTCTAGTTTCTCGTAACGTCGCTGTTCTTTACACGTGACACAATCCATCTGGTTTTTCCATTTTTTTTTCAAATTGAAACTGTACATTTTCTACGTGTTATTCTACGCACTGCGTGTAGGGAGTATCGAGAATTTTTTAATCGATAATATTAATAATTCTTTTTCTTTTGTGTTCCCTCTAGCATTCTAAATCGTCCTCCGATTTGAGAACGTTGCCCTAAGGGTCGATAAACGTCGATAGACACTGTCGTAGAATGGAAAGTTTCAGTTAGTCTTTTTCAATCGTTTAACGAACGACTCGTAAACATTTCTTAGATCGTCGATGTAATTTTACTACGCATCAACGGAACGCTTGTTGCACTTTAATCAGTCATGGAAGACATATGATTCCTGGTTGCATTCTCGATCATCTTTCTCGATCGAATAATTCGAAGCGAAGGCGTTGTTATCGACACGTTGCACTTCGAGTCGGTAACTTCTGTACACCTTATGGTAACAAACCCCATAACTTATCGACGATAGCTAATAGCTGTACAAAATTAATCCACGGATCTTTTCGTAATAATAAACTACCTCCTCTAGAGACAGAGTTTCATAATTATTCTTATTGCCAAAAGTTTTTAGTTCTCCGTTTGTAAGCTGCCCGATTCGATTAATCCCATGCAATAGCAACGCTGGTGACAATCGTTGTGGGTTTTCCCAGCCGGGTGAACGCACACTTACACGAGATCGTCGCGCCTACGATGGTGTGACGTATCCACGATACTTATTGTTCGTTCGTTTTAACATGGGAAGCGTATTATGTCCTCATTGTTTCTCTTCCTGGACGAAGGATGACCAATGCTTTTATCAAACCAAAACGTTCTTTCGATGCAAATTCAACGCACAAAAATAACAGAAATCACATTCACGCGTTCCGACCTTCTTTCCGCGTTGCAGTTATTTTTATTTTGCGTCGGTTCGGTTATCTTTAGAGAAACACTACAATTATCAAATACTACCGGTACTATCGTCGTTTGAATAGTTTCCTTGTTTTCGCGGCCATAAACGACTGTGTTCGTTTTGCGTAATAACCGCAGCATGTCTGTATTAGTTACACCATTGTTAATTCCATATGATTTTTCTATTCTTTAATTACTTGTTTCCAATTAAAATACTCATTTTTAATCTACTCGATTTCCGTGACAAAGGCAAAACGCGGATCGTATGAATAAACTTTAAATATAAAAAAGTTTCCTCTTATCGTTCCCTATAATCTGATACTCTTTTAAAATTCAGCAAAAATCGTCCAGCGGTCAAAGAGTTAATCGAATATTTCTAATCACAGATCTCGTGTTTTTTTTCCATCTGGAAATCGAACGCGGCAGACCGGGTAGAAAACAGCGATAACTAGCATAAATGAGCGATTCGTAGGGCCATGTGTCCGAGCAGGACGATATGAAACGTGGAAATGTTTAGATTTCCGTTTGAAACGGGTATATCTTCACAGGAAAACGTTTAATTACCAACAATCCGGCGTAGTTCTCCGCTATCAACCGATGTCCCCTGACAATCGACGCAACCGTTATCGACCAGGAATTCTCGCCTCTCTTTCTTCGGCAGTCATACATAAAATGCAAACGAAATATTAGCACGATAGTTTTACGTAATATATAAAGCGACGAGCAACACTGAACGCACTTTATACTTGCTTGTAAATATGTTAGTATATTTTCCAAACTAAAACGTTGTAATACAAACTAAGACTGGCTCACGATACATTACACGAAACAGAATTCTTTTTATTTCCTTCGATTTTGGTTTCACATTGGGAACAATACGAACGACTGAGTTTGGAAGTGGTGCAAAACTGAGTACGACAGAGTTGTCCTTTCCCAGAACATAAGAAATGCTAATAGACATTGGAAAGCTTAGAAAGGCTCCGCATGATGTCTTTTAAATATCAAGTCAAATAATCGTAATAGAATATTGTACATTTGCATTAACGTTAATCCTTAGCACTCGAGGGTTAATGTTTTCAGAAACTCGGTAAAGTGTGTTCAGTTATGTTCATCGCTGTAGACCTACTGCTCTATTCTTACAGAAATGGCGTTCACGCTGATGTTCATCGGCCTGTTGGCCTGCGGTTCCGCCCAACTGATCTACCCGGACGAGTTCGAGCGAATAAAGACCTCGACGGTCCCTCCGACTTATTTCACGACGCCTAGTCGCCAACCGAGGCCCTCCGTGGAGAGGAACGTAGCGTACTCGCAATCCAACCCGCTACCTCCGGAACCGCTGGGTATGAGCGTCTCCGAAGTGATGGAAACCAGTACGACTCAGCGTGCAACGCAGGTAGATTCAAAATTCACCGAGAATCCCCTGCTGGACTGGGGCGATCACGTAAGCACTCTTCAGAATGTTTAGTGAAAGGTGTTGTCAGGATCTATCTGAAACGACAGCGATGACCATTAGCTGATGCGCCATTAAGGAGTCGGAGCGTTGAACTTGATAAAATGTGGAGGCTGTGAAAAGGTTGATGATGCAAGCTTTGTGATAAACGTTTCGTAAGGATCCTTTAACGATGAGCAGTTATCATGATTATTATTATTATAATAATACTGCAATGTCGTATTAGAAGGTCCGAGTCCACGGAAACGGTGGCTCGATTTAAAAAAGTCTCTCCGACTAGCAACCTTCTTCTTCTTCGTGACGCATCATCGAAGCATGTCTATCGTCTATTTTGAAAATTTTAAATCGGTATTCCTTTTCACGGAGATTTTATAATGGAAAATTTGACGACGTTAGATCTTGACAACATCTATACACTGCGATTTGCATTCTTTTTTCATTAGTCACACCACACGAGAGCACACGTAATCCCCATTCATGCTAATCTCCATATCTGATAATACAAATTTGAAAGTAAGCATAACAACAATTTTTAAGAAACTCGTACAAGGTAAACGTCTTTCTACAAAAATATCACAAGAACGGACGTCTTTTTAAAGAGAACGTATAAAATAAATTCAATCCCTGCTCTATAACAACCGTAGGTGAACAATATCATCGTGAGAGGCGTGATGAAGTTCGCGTTGGACATGGAGAGAGAAATCTACAGAACTCGAGGTACGTCGATGATCGACCAACGAGAAAACATAGTTTTCTCGCCGATCAGTCTCTCCGCGACGATGGCCATGGTCCTGGCAGGTTCTGCTGGCAGAACCTTCGAGGAAGTGTCCAGAGTTCTTGGCCTGGAGGCTGGTGTCGACATCTCGCGAAACTCTGAGATCGTCCATCAGATGTTTGGCATACTGCTGAACCAGCTTCGCAGTAAAATAGCAGGATCGCCTGGACCTCGAGTCGACATTGCCACGGGAGCATTCGTCCAGGTAGACTATCCTCTTCCTAGACTCTTCCTCAAGATGTTAGTTACGTTGGATATTATTCCGGCTATGTTCCCTACGAAAGATACAGAATATTAGATATCGTATAATATTAATATTTATAATATAGAATATTTAGAGATCGTTTTAATGATTCTAGGAGGGGTATCCGATACTTCCACAATTCAAGGCGATTAGTCAAAATGTATACGACACCGAGGTGATAAACGTGGACTTCAACAGGCAGGGGAAACTGACACAGGAGTTGATCAACTCGTGGGTGAAGCAGAAGACGATGGGGAAAATCGCCACTATCTTGAGCAATCCTCCAGATCCAGCGACCAGCGTCATTCTCTTATCTGCGCTCTATTTCAACGGAGAGTGGAATCAGCACTTCCTGCAAGGAGCTACCAAAAGGTTCGTTTTTCCTTTTCACTGATAATCCAGCTGGAAAATGTAACTATATTTAGACATTTTCTATCATCCAATATGAAGGTTTATAATATGACATCTATTATTATTTTTAAGCCTATTTATTAGACACGCAAATATATTTTCTTAACAGTCATTTATTTATTTATACTGTACTTTATATACTGTTGAAAACGGGCCCGTTAACGAGACATACGTCTGCTACGTAATTGACTCCAAATTGACTGCGGAGATCCTCGTTCATCTGAAACAAATGTTAATGGATGCTACTTAATCAGTATGAATGTAGTTATCGCGGGTAGCAGAATTAACCACTATATATGGTAACAAAATGACGGGCTCGTGAATGTTTAATATGGAAATTTCTTATTTTTCAAAACTATCGTTTGCTTTGAAAAATATGAAATGTTCAACGTAACATATGTGTAAGAAGAAAATTGATTTCTCGCGAAGTCGGATTATCAGAATAGCCCCTTGAACTATATACAATTTAAGTTAGTTCTATCAATTTTAAAAATCTCGGTCACTCGTACAGGAAACCGTTCTTCATCGAGCCAAACGAAGCGATTACGATCGACATGATGTACAACGGCGGACCGTTTCCTTTCTACGAAGACAAGCAATTGGGAGTGAAGATCCTCGGTCTTCCCTACAAGGGCTACGAAGTGAGTACAAAGTGCCAAACTACCCGATACAGTTTCTATCTTTCATCCTAATCACCTAACTCTTCTTCAGACCACGATGTACGTGCTGCTGCCGACAGCGATGGGCGCGAAGGCCCTGCAAGGTTTCCAGAACCAGCTGACCGTCGACATCATCGAGAATCTGATCCAAAATATGAAGAACGAGACCTGTATCATCGGTTTCCCGCGAATGAAGTTGTCCAGTAGTCTCAGTTTGATGTCGCCGCTCGCGAGCCTGGGTCTAACGTCTCTGTTCAACCCGAATACAGCGGACTTGAGTCTCATGTCGCAAGGTTACAGAACCAACGCATCCCCGTCGCCCAACACCCAGAACGACGTGACGTTCAACCCACGTTTCGGCAACGAAAAGAAGCCGGATCACATAGTGAGGAGGAATTACTTCACGTACGAGGAAAAGGTCAAGGGTTACACGGTGGAGCAATGGTCCACCGGGTTCTCGATAAGAAAATCCAGAAAGCCTCGCGAAACCGAGTCTGTTCGGAGGTCGCAAGAGAGCAGGAACTCTTACGAAGCGGATGGATCCGTAACCGAGGACGTGAACGTTGTGAATCTCGAAGAGAACAAGTATCGTTTCCAAGGTAGACAGAGGAGGACCAGAAGGCAGAGCAGGCCCATCGATCAGAACTTCCTGGACTTCGTCAAGCGGCGTAATTTACCGTCGTACGGGTTGGACGAGCTCAGGAACAGCGCCGCGTTGGTGAACCCGCATCTGTATGCTACCGACGTTCTTCACAAGGTGGAGATCGACATCACGGAGAAAGGCACCGAGGCTGCGGCCGCTACGGCCGTGTTGTTGGAGCGTGATGGGAATCAGAAGAGGCTGGTGGCGAACAGACCTTTCTTGTTCTTCATCAGGCACGATCCCACGAGGCTCGTGCTCTTCTGGGGCACGGTGAACGCTCCTACTCCGAATTATTCTGTGACGTAACGTGCAAATGTTTAAAATATCGAGTGATTGGAGGATCCTTAACTTTTAATTGATATTGTTTACCATTGCTTGCCGTCGTAGCTGCTTGTCCCGGTGATGGGACTGATACGATTAGATATCGATGGCTCTCCAGCAGTTGGATACCAGAGTACCTAATAGGATGTATCGGAGTACTTTGTCAGCTGGTATCGGTATGGTATTACTTCCATCGCTAGCGATAACTATTTCTGAGTGAATCGAGAGCAGAATGCGATGATTGGGTTATGCGAGTGTTTGTGTACTAGTTATTTATATCGTTTTCCCTTGAATCTCCGTAGACTCGAATTATAATACGCTACTCTGATACTATTAATAGCGCTGTAACGATTTATAGAAGGTGAATCTGCAATTCCTGACGAAACAGTATTTTCTTCATACTTAACGCTGCTCCTGCCGTTATTCCACGTGCAATATAACGTTCCATCGATCTAAGCACATTCTAGTACAGTAGTACTGTTTCCTTTAACTTATTAAAAGAATGATTTTATATAATCGCGATAAATGAATAAATAAATGTTTTGTAACTACAAGTGTTATTAATTTATCGAAGCGTACAAAGGCCACAGCACGGATATGTTATAATAAATTGTTTTGTTTTATTCAAAGTATTTTACAGTTTATAATACAACGTTGCAATCGAAATTTAACTGAAATAAATCGGAGATCTTAATTCGGACGGCTGTAGAATTTACAGCGTAACGCTTTACATGTTTTACAGGACGAGTAACTTCGAATAATGTTACCCATCAATTTGGATACACGTGTAAGTACAATCGTCTATAATTAAGTAGCTTTTTCTAACGATACACAGAATTTTCGACTTTGATGGTTTACGAACTAAAATTATTGTATTCGATAGTTGTCGACTTATAATGGAATAGTAATCGATTGCAAAAATATTTCTTCCGTATTATTTGATTTCAATACTATTTTAACTTTTATTTCTCACGCTTAAGATTAATACTTTTTTTTTTATGACATAACATTGCATTAAGTTAATGATTGTACTCACAAAGAATTTTTATTTTTTAATAGTTATAGGCAAAATATCACACCAACGAGACAATAATTTATTTCGCGATACAAACTAAAGTTAGCGATAAACGATGATTTCATAAATACTATAATGAAACTATAGTACAACGATGAAATGAAATTTACCAAGATGTTAGAATCTTTTACTCCTAAAAAAATCTTGACAACTTTAAATTATATCATAGATATTCGTCTGTAGCGTCGCTCGTAACGATCCAAAACATACTTTTCAATGTTCTCGCGACTTTCTGGGATTCGTTTTTCCTCAAGTAAATCAAAACCATAATGAAAAATCAAATTGAACGTATACGTGTACGTTCATCAAAGGTTATTTCAAAGGAGTCGATAATTTCCCGATACTTACACTAGGGTACGTATTATAATTACATATTTCGCGTTAAAATAACTAAATTTCTTACAACCTCATAAGCAATCTATATAACGTTTAATACTTTTTACATGCGGAATTTCGCCTAAATTATTGCATACCGCTTTGTTGACCTATCAAGGGAAATATTTGTGTGATTTTACCGATCCCTTTGGTGCGACCCTCCCTCAACAACAGTCGCATCCCCACGTGAAGATACTCCGGATGATTGACAAACCTGAATAGCACGGATGCCGTGTCATTGGTTTGTAAACCTCTATCGTTCGCATCCATTATACCTTTAATGATGCACGTTTGCCTCACGTTCCCCACGTGCACCGTCGTTTGGAACCCAGAAAATATCGCGGTCGCGTGATACACTATCAACACGGTCGCCTAAAACATTACATCGTAATTGAATAATTTGCATAAAATTTATAGATTTATTAATTCTGTATCACCGCGTCGTGCGTACTTGGAAGAACAGCGTTGCGCGTGGCTGGTCCCACACAGAAACCAAAACCATTCCAGGTCGTAAGTGCGGTAAGGGAGGGCTTCGATTCGACGGCGGTGCCAATGTCAAACTAGCGCTCTGCGATGCTCTCACCAAGCAACACGGAGCCTTGTTGCGATGCAGACTGACGACCTTCACAGGGCTGAACTCCCCGTCTGGCAAAGGTCCTACCAATAATCTAGTACCTGGAGCGATTGCTCCTTTCACAAGCAATCCACCCAGAACAGGTTCGTTCAAACCCGCTACCCTGTAATATAAAGAAAAAAAAGGCTATATCCAACTTTTAGTACACTCAGGATTCCCGCTAAGGATGACAAAGTTTTATTTTTCCATAGAAAACCAGCGCGTACACGCATACCTAAAGGTTTCGTCGATTTGAAACAGGCAGGACTCGGAATCTGAATTTGTAGAATTCACGTCGTGGGGCGACAAGTTCTTGATGAAATTCGTTAAATCCCCTAAGCCCTCTCCAGTGACGCAGCTCACATTGAACACAGGTATTACGTCGGATTCGTAATCCCACGGTATTTGGTTGTCGTTGTACATTACTAATTGCTTGGAATAACCCTGGCCGCTAATCGCGCTCTTCAACTGATTTATCGTCTCCGGCGTGCTACAAAATCCGAGGTCGATCTTGTTTACAACCACGAAGAAAGGAAGTCCCAATGTCAGGCACAAGGCCATATGTTCCTGCGACGCTTCGTTCATCGGTGGCGCTACGACCAGCATAACGTGATGGGGGGAATACCCTGCAAGACCGTAAATTCGTATTGTCATCGACTTCGAAGATCCTTTAAGAGATATAGATAAAGAAGTCTGTTATACCTGTAAGACCAAGCACTGTAGTTCTCAAATATTTGCGATGACCGGCTAAGTCTATAAACGTAACGACTTTTGATGCGTGCTCGCATATTTCTTCCGCGGTAGCCATTTCCGCATAATTTAAGACGTGTCCCTCCGCATCGAACCCTATGATTTCGTGCGATATTGATGACGTACGACCCGTTTTTATCTCGTGAAGATGTCGCAACATATTCAGTCTCGCTCTTCCTCTACCATTATCTAATTCACCCTGGGTCAATACGCCTATACACATCGCGAATGCATTAACATACACGTCTCGGTTGAAATTATCATCGATTAGACGAGCAACGAGCATAGCAGAGTAAACTCTAAGTATATTTCTCTACCTTAAATGTCCTCTGCTAATCCTCTCACCTAAGAGAGTTGATTTCCCAGCATCCTGCGCACCAGTGACGGCAAGTCTTAAATCGACAATACTATCCTGATCCTCCCTGTCTCCTTTTCTCAATTTTTTCACCAGCACTTCCGCTACCCGTCTTTCCTCTTTGTTGTTACCATGCGCCGACCTATGTTTATTTTTAGAATTGGCAGGCCTTTCGCGTAACATGCTCGTTGTAGCACCTAATCTGGCCGCCATATCATTTAGAGTCTTCAAAGATGCTTTCATGTCTTCTCTTGTCAATCCTGTCAATCTTCCATTGTCCTCCACACCTAACGACGAGTAAAACATATGGTATAAACAACTAATATCGCAAGTACAATGAATCTTTTTCTAACAGACAAATCGTTACGCACCAATTTGGTAAATAGCCTCTCCGTGGCCCTCTCTTAGTCGCCATTTCATCTGCGTGACTAAATGTTCGAATCGTTGACTAGAAGGATTTATCAACTTCAGCTTATATTCCACGTTACCCTGTTCTGGTTCCGGAGGTAGTCTTTCCTCGTGATCGTCGTCGATGCTTGAATTTTCATCGGACATTCCGTTCCCTTCATTTTCAGAATCATTCCATGTATCCTTTCGAGTGCCTTTGCGATTGTCCGGGTCAAACAATTCAAAGAATGACTCCATATCTGTACGTTAAACATAATTATTGCATAAAATCAATGGTTTCACTTTTCGTGTATAGCTTTTACAATTGCAAAAACAAAGGATCGTATAACAGTTACTCTTAACATTGTTTATCAATTGTTTATAAATCGAGGCATATAAATTCTTGGGCAAGAGCACCGCGACATTGCGTTAGAACCGTGCCAATAATGTACAACGAACCAACCGCGAAATTTGTCAAGTTTTCGTCATTTTTTTACGTCATATTCGCTTTCTTCGCTACGCAAAATTAAATCGCTTACATAAACAAAGGATTTATTGAATCATCCCGATATTCGACGCGTATCGTTCGCGGCATCGCATTAATTCTCTGATAAACAACTTTTTACGTTATCCTCGCATCTAATCAGTGTTTATTTAGACCTCAAGGTTCCACGGATTGAAATGCATTCTTAAAAGAGATAAACTATACGAAACGTCCGAAGCGCGCCAAAGAGCTATGTATCGTGTTACGCTTACAACAGCTGTACACACACGTAATATCGCGCGATATAGCGTAAACGTGTACAAACAAAAAGGGTATTCGAGCAAAACGTTCCCGGGACAAAATTCTTATTCGGACCAAAAATAACGAACGAACGAAAATAAATAATTTTCGATCCATTGTTCGAACAAAGCTTTTCGATTATCGAATCCAAACTTACTCAAATCACTGTCCAATCGAATGGACCTCGCGAATATATCGCTACATGCAATTTAATTCGTCGTTCGAAGTATTAATCGAGTGAAACTGTTTATTCGTGAAACGAAAACGTAGATGGAAAGACAGTCTGATCTCGCAGACTCGATTTTGTTTTTAAGGGGATTCCATTATGACAGAATCGAAAGTGACAGCTACGCGACAAAGAACACAGTGACCGCTAGAGGTGAGTTTACGCGTACGATGATTCAATGAGAAAACGTTATCGGGACTTACTGCATCTTAGAGGGAATAGGTTTTCCCCCTACGCGGCTGTGTGCTCTCGATATCGAAATTTCACTTGACTGGCAGACGTTGAATAACACGCGCACCTCTCACTTTCCCTCCCGTTTTTTAACGCTCGACTGATACACGGCTCGATCGAGATCAGTTTGTTACCACCTTCGCCGCATCATCCTTTCGAGGCTCGAACAGATTTAGTTCCAACTCGATACAATCGCAGATGACGCTAGGGGGTCCAACTTGGACCATTCGAATGCAGAGGGGATGCCTCGAGTTTATTGGAATTTATATTTTAGTTAGGCACGAGAATAGCAGGTGGCGCTAATTGAAACGTTCGTGGCGTCTCCTACCGACTGTTAACTAAACTGTGTAAATGTGGATTTTACCATATATCATGAAGACTGTTAAGTAGCATTGAGCTCTATTCTAAGGTGAGGAGAAAGTCACCAAGACTTCCCCTCCTTCTTTACGATCTTACATAACATATGTGTAAATTTCATACAAATTTAAACAAAAATTATAGTCAATTTCCATGTAAAAAGTGTTTTATTCTTAATTTATTCGAAATATCTAAACAATAGGTGCATTCAGAAATGTCATCGCTTACTAGGTCGCTCACTGAACGGGTTTCGAAGTATCGAAGTTGCGAACGCCGATTCAAGTACCTATCTCGTCTGCTGCTGCTGTTCAATTAGCAGAGGTAAATATTTGTTCATATTAAACATTGATTTTCTACATGGCAGCAGAAAACTGTGGCGAATCATTGAGAAACTAATCTGATATGTTTCTTTTTTTTCGCAACCATAGATTTTACCTGAGAATTAATTTTCATTTGGAAGAGGAAACTATGGGGAGAAGCAGCGTCATCCCCTCTTCAAACATCCCGCCGGCGCCGCCTAGTTGCGCGCGCAGCCACGGGCCGCACTCGCTCGCGAACTGACGAAGAGCGCCTGGCCTGGAGGGGAGCATCATGCGCCGGCCTGATAAGACGTAAGGATGGCGTGAATCACCGTGATCACACAATCACGATCGCAGTCGTGATTAAACTTCAATCAAAAGAATGTTCTCAACCAATTAGAAGCGATCACCAAGATTCACGAATCACTGTGAAAAATCATCGTGATTGAGAATGAACGTGATTGAATCACGAGTGATTCAAAAGTAGCAGTTCACGCCATCTCTAATGAGACGTGGTTAGTGATTTCCGACTAGATATCTATCTTTCACCTGTTGGCAAGTCGCATTACTACTTCGGTTTACTTTAAATTGGTGCTTTTATCTAATATTGATACTCTTTCGATTTTAAAATCACTCGAGATCGCGAGATAAATCCGACCGGCTTCGTTCTCTTTCTTCTTCTCCTCTCGGTGTCGATTGCTTCTCTGAATTAATTTTTCCGATCTTTCGAGAATCATTTCGAGTACGACTGTTGTTCTATTATAATATAGCCACGTTTAAATCGATTGACATATCTTAAATCATTCGTCTTTTCCTGTTACAGATCGCTGATTGACATCCCGGTTGAAGTTTGACGAAACTGGTACCGACGCCATGGACGACCATTTCGATTTCAAACGAAACTTGGCAGAGCGCGGTAAAGCTGGTAACTTGTCGCAACGGAATGGTGATATATTTTTATATATTTTTATTGATTTTTGTATGAATTGTTGTTGCTCGTATGCGTATAACGCGATTTCCTAAAGAATTAATACTAAGATAAAACGAGCAGAATTAATAGAGATTTTCTTCCAATTGAGATTTCGTAACAATTCAAAATGCCGGTATGTTGGTATAATTCGATCGCGATCGGGTATTTTCCGGCACCATTTTGTACGATGCATTTGATTCCTTCGTAAATGTATCTTTACGAAGCGAATGAAATTGCGTTTGGGTTCGAGTTCGATCGTAGCAAGCTCAAATTCACGTAAAAAATTCCGCTATTCCGCATGTACGAAAATCGTGATTTATTTTGCAATACGAGCTAATGGCTGCAATCTTTCTCTCTGAAAACTCTCAAAGCATTCCAGGTGGTGCTAGCAGGAATCACAACTACATATCCAGTGTATCTGTGACCACCACCAACACAGCTATTCAAATTTCAGCATCAGTGTTGGTGCCTATCTGTCTGCTGGTCTGTCGGTTTAGTTCTACTACTGTGCCCATCTGCAATATCCATTACAAATGTTTGACAATTAGATATCTGCTTCATCCATAAATTCTACAATTCTACACATGACATGATAAAATTAAATAAACATTTCCTTACCAGAATGTGTCTGCGAGGTCACAATTTCCATTGTATCTGTTGCTTTGATTCCTTCAGGAATTGCTGCAGGAATTGCTGCAGGAATCGAAGCATCAACAGCTGCAGGTTCTATAAAATATAGAAATTATAAATAATAAAGTATGCTATGAGTATGCTTATTTTATGTATACATACTTGGCAAATGGAGGGTCGGCACTGCTGATGTACTTAGTCTGATATTTAATTTATAAAAGTCCTCGAAATGGATATCGCAGATTTTCACATTTTTTAGCGAATTCATCTCCAGAAGACAGGGATTATCGCACGCTTCTATCCATTTAAGGCAGCGTTCCTTATCTTTTATCATATCGGGAAATTGCCGAAGTTGCTTTCCTTCCGATGTACACCCTCTCACTCTGCACTTTTTAGGCGCCATAACACTACGTAAACACACAAAATCACAATTAAAACACTGCATGGTAACAAAAATCATCCTGACCCACCACGACCACGTGGTGTTACTTCAGCGATTTAAATGTTTCGGTTTCGCGGACTTTAAATGACGACGAGTACCGACGGAAACCGACGGTTACCGACGCTGAAATTTTCATAGCTGTGTTGATCGTACTCACCGATAAGTAAGATACGTGTGTGTGATGCCACTAACGCCACGTGGATTTATGTCTCCAACTAAAATGCTAAAAACCTTTGAGTATATAGAAAACCTTTATCTACATATATACTCAAAGCTAAAAACGTGGTTCAATTTCTCCGCATCTGCGTTTGACCTTCCTGAGTAGAACTGCTAGTTGTGTAATAACACAGTAAAAACCTTTGAGTAATACTCAAAGAGTGAAACCTACAAACACCACATGCCATCTAGTGGCAGTAGCGAGAATTATTTTACTACAAACGAACGTTTTGCCGCTTCCAAAATTAGTTTTGTTTATTATTGTTAAATTAAACACTTCTTACATGGAATTTGAATATAATTTTTCAAAAATTCGTATGAAATTTACACATCTGTTATATAAAGCCAATTGTGCTTCGTCCAAACAGACGATAGATACTAGTAACAAAACTACGGGACTAGTAACATGAAAATAATTTTATTTATGCGATCTAAGAATTAGTTAAATCGGATTAACAGTTCTTAGACACAATTGGCTAAATATAAAAATGTAATGAATGCTTTCGTTGCTCGAGAAAGATATTACGTAGATTTTTTAAGTAGCGAGTAAACGTTGATTGTGTCGTTTCTATGTGAAGATGTGAAGATGGTCAACATGAGACTTGATGAGACTATGTTTATCTTCTTGCGAAACCTTGAATTTGTTTAAATCTTTGGATACGGGTCCACAGTGAACGACAACTTCATAATTCTTATTTGTTGAAGTAAACATCGTGATGTTTCGACGCTTAAAAATAATTACATGTATGTACCGCGTCAGCAATTCCTTCTTACCGAGGACAAGCAGTGAGCTAGGTCAAAATGTTTGTTATAATTCATTGCAGCATCAGACAGTAAAGTTTAGTGTAAGTGATGAGCCAAATTCTGAGAGTGTGGACGATAAAAAGAAAAAGAAACCACGAACACCAAGGGTTCCTCAAATTACGTTACTTTTTCCCGATAAATCTATGATCGTTACTTACGTAGAAGATGCCCAAAAGCTTGCTAAGCGACGGAATTTACAATTAGAAAAACTGCACTACGATAAAAATGTCGAGAGAGATGTTTACCGGCTTTACGGTACCGAAGTTTTTAGCGAGGAGAAAGTTATAGAGAAAGACGATGGCTATGTGCAGTTCAAAGTGACCAAACTGTTTCATTTTAGCGACAAAGTTGCTGAACACGATTTAAATACGAAAATAAATAATATCAATAGGGTATTGAAAAAGAGACACAGAGTTAAACTTGTCATCAATTTCAGCAGAGAAGATAAGGTAAAGAATTGCCCCATTTACAATTCCCTTAGTTTTGAACATTTTGTTTTTGCTCTCTCTAATGAATGCAATGGCATTGATTTTCAGGATACATTCATTCAAGATGTGAAGAAGAAAATAAACGGACTTATAAGTAAGGAACAACTAAAAAAGAACTCTGTCCAGTTTATATTCGATCCTATATCAATTGAAAAAACTAATGATTCAGAAGAAAATGTTGCAAATACTGGAGTAACAGTAAATTGAAACAAATTTTAATTTCACGAATAGTAATGTGAGTTCTTACAAAATTATATGATAATACACTGTAAATATGTATTTGTATGTATTTAAATATAAATATTATGGAAGTCTAAAACAACTTATGTATTATATACATAGAATTCACTGTATATTATATTCCTTTAAAACTCATGATAGTAAACAACAAAATGGACAGTATTTATTTCCTGTATTAAAAGATTTTACATTTTACAAGTATTAAAATGAGATTCAAAACTAATAATACTTCAAGATTATATATATATAAAATAAAAATTGAATTATTTTATAAACACAAAACAAGTTTTATCATAATACATTTTATTTTCAACATTGAATTGACATTAGGAAAAAGAATAGAGTTCTGAATTTCATTTCATATCGTACACAGTATAGTTATTGTCAAGTAAAAGTGAATAGGGTACCGTGATAATATCTTTTACTTAATAATAAGTATCTTATCATCTACAGATATGTTACCTAAGTATAAGAACAATTAATGATCATAGTTAACAAATATTTCTCCAACACTGATAAAAGTTACCTAATTGATTTCATTTAAATATTAACAATGTATAATTTTAATAGATCCTATTGAAACATTTGGTCTTAAATTGAGATCTATATTTCCTTAAATCTTATATTATAAATGCTATAAATATATATTTTATCATACTTTTACAGACAAATATAAATTGCTATTATAATTGGGTTTTTTGGTCGATAAAACATTTGAGAAACTGCACTTCTAAATATTTATTACGAATTTTTAGCTTGGTTATAATGCGATCAATTATTTTATTATTCATATTTATCAACGTTTATCTTCATTTTTCTGTAATTAATTAAAATGCAGTCTCCTTTGACTGGGAAACCTATTAAACATCAATTGATTTTTTAAAAGATTTATAACAGATACATAATTAAATGAAATGTGGCACATTGCTCTGTGCGTTACATTAGACTAGTCGATTTAAGATTTCAGTATAAATATTTTCTATTAACGTCTATTCTATGTATAAAGAAGACTAACTTGTTCTTTTAATGCAGTTTTTGATCAAATGATAATATTATTACATCACAATAGGTTGATTCAGATGCATCATTTCGAACGTTATATTATTAAATCATAAAAATAATTAAATAAAGTTTCCAATTTGTGAACGGTATGTATCAGTTTATCAAGCGCTTTAAAAACGCGTACTATAACGTATCATATTTGATTCAACTATTTGTAAAATTTCCATTGATTGTCGTATATATCCATGGTACCTGCAAACAGTATTTTTTAAAATACGCATACTGTTATTATACAAGGTTCTGTCTTTTAATGTTAAATATTCATCGCACTTGATCTAATGATACACGACACGTTCCAGGTAAAATGTGAGATTCAATAATATTCAAGGTACGAGCGAAATAGAAAATGGATATGTAAAAAGTTCGGATAAACATTATTACGGACACTCGATTGTCTGACACTTTCTGTATTCCACCAGAGCGGGGCACAGTTTCCCTTCAGGCCCGCGAGGTTGAACTTTGACCGTTCTTGTCCTGCACTGGGATGCTTCTCCGCAGGTTGCCGTGCAACGCCCCCAAGAGGACCACTGTGTCATTTTACAATTAACTGAAACTAATCGCACGAATAATTACTCTGTATTAAAATAGTCGAGAAATAGTACCTATTAGAAAAAGAGCAGTCGATTAAAATTTACTTTCGTTTTCCTCCACTTCTGTATTTTGGTCATGATAGGTACGCAGTCCTGGGCCGTCGCCTTGCAGGGCTAAAAAATATCTATTCAATTTATAGAATTCAACTATTATATCATAATTGATGATGATACTACTTACAGCATGGTGGAATCTTGTGGCACTTCCGTTTGCGGTGAAGCTTTTTCGGGCAGTTTTTACCATTGCCCTTAGGTGGTACCTGATTGCGAAGATGATATAATTAAAGAAGAAATTTAACGACCTTGATAATGTTTCTGTTGGTGGAATATTTACCGTGATCTCTCTAGTACTGACTGTGTATCCACGGCATCCTGCACATTTGGACCAATTACTCCACTCGGTTACCTGACAGTCGACATCCTCGTTCTCGTGCGATTCTATTACTTGGCTGACTGGTTCCATGCCCTTGAATTCCAAACTTTCTGTAAGGAAAATATTAACGAGTTACCTTCAGAAAGAAGGATATTTTAATTATTACTAATACGAAATACTAATTCTAAAAATTTGATTGGCAGCTCAAAGACACGTCCACCAGCGGTGGGGATAGCTAAGCATTGCGATGGGATTCGCTGCCTCGCGACCTTGAGTGACCAATTGATTTCGTTCCAACCGAAATAAACGTCACCGTGGTGAGCTCGTTTCGTCTTCGTGCTGCGTTGCTCCTGCGTGGGTACATGGTAGCTGAGAACACTGCTCACGGATACTTTATAGTTCCTCAATACCGTTGACGAATTCGTCTTTGACTCTCCTTTGTTAGTATTATGAGCAAGCGTGCGCAAAACAAGGGGACCGATTGTATTAGAAAGGGAGGACTTCTGCAAACTGTTAAATTTCTAGCTCGTGCATCCATTACGTTTGCAACATTTGAGACAGGACTTTTTCAACGATAAATTTGAAGATTAAAATAGATGAAACCTACTTTGAAAATCGCCGCAGACCTTTTTGCAGTCCTGCTCGGTTTGGAAGTTGTTTCGATTTCCGTCGCAGCCGGTGTACCTGAACAAACGGCAACGGCCCGTTTGTGTGTCGAAGTACGCGCGTAAAGTGTTGCCACCGCATCGTCCCTTCTTCAACGGTTCGCTGCAGATGTCTGGAACGAAGACAGATTCTCGTTATAATTTTAGAAAATATTAAACGCGATTTATTTGTTAATTTCAGCAATGTCTTTTGACTCACGTTCCGCTTCCTTCTTCGAGAAGTCGCACGTAGGAACATTGGCTACGCAAGCAGCCTGTTGGACCTTGCACTCCTCCAGGCTCAAGTCGTCGTCCACGTCTCCGAGGCTGCTCCAGTTTTTATCGACTAGCCTGGATCGCATTTGGACACCGGGACCGCAACTGGAGCTGCAGGGCGACCACAGCGACCACTGCGTGAAGCGATCCTCGGGGCATTTCTAACGTCGGAATAAATTTGTTTAAACGAAACATTTCTAAACGGAGACTCCTATTGTTTAATTAACCTTTTGCGGTCGTATTAAATTTAGGCATGGCTATCGTACTGGTCAGAATTACTTCCAGGCAGTGATACATAATATGCAAGTTTATGAAGGATAAACGAGATTTATTAATTCCTTTGTGGACTTTAGATATATGTTGATATATGACTTTAGATATAATGTGTTTTTATGTAAAAATTATATTTCATAGTTCTCCATCATGTGGTATCTTTCGGTATCTTCTTGCCGTTTTGGAGTATTGTTTTTGAAATATTTTAAGAAACCAGAATGCCTAATTACACTTAAACACAATTTGTAAAATATTATTTGGAATTCTACCAAGTATTTTCGACTGTTTGTTATTTATTACAGTCTGTTACAGAAAAAATAACATTATTCGATACATTTGTCTTTGAAACATTTAACATGTAGATTACTTCACCCACTGGTTCATATATTCTTGTATAACTTAATATGATTACTAACGATCTTTTCATTGATCTTTCCATTAATCTATTATTACAGTAATATCTTAGAATCTATTACTATTGTCTAATGGCTTAAATCTTTTCAGTTTGTGGAATACAACATAAGATTAGTATGGACATACGACCGCAAAGGGTTAAGCTTTTACACTTGTATTAATTAAGCCGTTAGTTTATTAAGATTGAATGTCACATAAAAAGTTCTTCGAGTTATTACGCGCCCTTGATATTGAATAATTGTCTTCAGGTTCTTCGTGAGTAAATCGCTCGACTTACGTGAGGATGCCAGAGTGCCATGGATGGATCTACGAGAAATGGTGCAGGTATGATTTACAGTCACGTGTCGATCGATCCGAGATTCGTTAGTGGTGATTCGACTATCGTACGAATTAATTAAAAAAAAAAAAAAGAGTAATAATACGTATTCTCACATGTAGCTTGTTACTATGATCGAGTTCGTTGAATTTGTTAATTTTCCATGAACGATTTGTGATTTAATAAGTTACTGAAAATGATTGTTACGCGCCGGTTAGCAACAAATTCTGGCGAGCTCTCCGAGGTTCCGTACCTGCAGCCATTCCTCGGTTACCTCCATCGCCGGTTCCTCTCCCTCGTAATCCTCTCCGTCGCCCTTGTCTTCGTCGTTATCAGTGTCCTCCTCCTCCTCCTCCTCCTCCTGATTAGACACATCTCTTACCTCGTCCCCGTCCTCGTCGGGACACGGATCGTTATCGCAGTCGATTGTCTGTTGCAGTTCGGGCCCGTCGGGGATGGCTTTGCACTGTTTCCGATGCTTCTTCTCCCGGAAGTTCCTAGACCTGGTCATGTGACCCGGTCCGCAGCTCGTCGTGCAGGAACTCCACTTGCTCCACTCGTCCAGGGCGCACATCGGGTTGTCCAGGAGCGCTGCCGAGGGTCCTGCTCTGCTACTGCAAACGGAAAATTTTTGGAAATTTTAGGAATTTTTTGGAAACAACCATTCGTTCGTTAGTAGGGGTGTACGGGATCCCGGTCGGGACGGGAATTCCTCCCGGGATCGGGATGGAATCCGGAGACTTTCAAAATCCCAAATACATCCGGGATTCCCGAGAATTTCGAAATCCCGTACATTCGGATTGCTGACATTTTCAAGAATAACAACACTTTCGGAAATCCCAGATATTATTCTATATCCCGTACATTCTCGGGAATCCCGCACACTCCTATTCGTTAGGCTTGTGATAGCACTTCCGCTCATTGCCGCTAGAGGGAAACCGGGCGTTAGCGCGTTTCTCACAAGTCCTCGGTCCGCTTATCGTTCGTGTATAAGTCGTTCTCGACCGACCTCCAAATGAATGATGTCAGGATCGGAAGTTGCCAATCGCTATATTGGATTTCCCGTACAAACACACATATCCCAACGCGCACAAGCTCCGTTTACGTACACAATCAGTGTAATAAGTATTTTCATACTGCACCAATTTAAAATAAATGATATTCCATATACGTATATTTATTACACTGACTGCAGAGCTTGAAATCTCGTGAAAAACTTCGGAAATGCGAATAAGGTGAAGGACAAATGTTGTGAAGGTCTCTCTTCTTCGCTTTCGAGCATCTTAACTTTAGGACGAGGAAGGAAGCCTCACATTTGCCTTCTTTGTCGAATCTGCCGAAGTTATTTGAAGTATTGAAGCTTGCGTATATTGGGCCTCGTGCGTTAGTATGTGGTGGAGGAAATCCAATATGGCGCCCGGGGGACTTCCGTCGCGCGCCATTGGGACTTCCCATCCTTGATGGTAGTCCTCTACATAACCTCAGTTTCTCCCTTGGGAAGCTGAGGTATGCGTAATGCATTTCTCCACAATAAAAAATAAAAGAAAGGCCCAGAACGAAAAGCTCTCCCCCTTTCTTTTTTCTTCTCTCCTCCACAGGCACTACCACAACAGGTTTTGTAAATCTTTCAAGAAGATGTAGCGCTCACCAATGGGGATTCTTGCCGTAGCAGTGCGCTCTGTCGGTAAGGGTGGTGTTGCACTTGTTCAGATGGGCAGCGGCTTCGTCTCGATATTGTCTTTGCCTGAGCTTGGTGCCACGACCGCACGTCACGGAACAAGGGCCCCAAGAACCCCACTGCGACGGCCTGCAGGCTTCTACGAAGTAAAAATACTTCCTTTTTTTTTCAAGTATTAAATAATAAATCTAAATCGAATCAAATTTTGTATTTTTTAGTTAGCATTCTTATTAATAGCATTCTTATTTTATAGCTCCGTCATTTGGCGTGTAGAATAATTGCTGTATTAATAACAATTAATTTATAATGCTACAGGGTCCAATTGATAGATAGATAACTAGTTCCTTGTAATTTTTACATAGTCATAAAAAGAAAAAGAAAAATATTTTGTTACATGCCTCTCAAGCAAAACAACTAAAGCTTACAGAATCTAATTACTATCTGATTATAATAAAGCGATGTAACGCAGACGTGCACCACTACTCTTCAGCATCGGTTACCTCAATTTTCTTCGATCGCTTGAACATCTCTTTACAGCGTTAAGCAAACAACTCGCGACACAGAGACGCCAGAAAGGAAGAGATATTCTCCGAATAAACATTCTATATCATAAATCTGCATATTACACCAGGAGAAAAATATTCAGGCAACTTCAGTCTGTATGAAATTCTTTTCGAACCTCTCCTTGTATAAACGTTCGAATCAATAAGAATTCTCTTCCTTCTTTTGGCCTCCGCGATCACGAAAATAAAATCAAAATAATAAAGGAACAATACTTGCTATTTTTGCGAATAGGTGTAGGTGTGACACCTGTATCGGTGGAATCCTCCGGAGCGTCGTCGCAAGTTTTCTCGTAGAGTCTCTGTCGATTCAGATACAACTTGGCCAGGGGTTTCATGTCCGAACCGAGAGGATCGTAGAATGGTGATCTTGGATCGTCCGGATAGGTCGACGTTATGCGTCTGATGGGCTCTGGCTCGTCCCGCGGCGAATCTGGCGACTGCACGCAAATTTTTCGTGAATTTTCTTGATATATAATATTTTTGAAAATTGTTATCATAATTTACAACCTCGCGATTTTATAACTTCGTTCGTGCGGAGAAAGTGGCCGCGAAAATGTTCGCTCTTCGGAAGCGGAAACGAAAGGCGGTGGGAAATTTCCGGTAAGGTGTGGGGAGCACGTATACTTCGACGTTGTCAGCGATTTTCACGCGACCCTATCGACGATTGTTAGAGAGGAAGCCTCCCGTCAAATTTATTATGCAATTCTCTGCGCCCGACAGCTGACGTTCATTTTGTCCTCGCGTCGCGGTAGAGTCATTTTTATTCCACGAAATGGAAACCCATTTTTCGCCCATCCAGTCGTTTGTTTACCTTTTCCAGACAAATTCGGATTTCGATGACTTTTTTAGGAGACATTTTTATTTTGAAAGGTACTCATTGGTACCTATTGGTACTCATAGGTAACATTACGACACCTATAACGTTTCCAAAGAAAGACGAACGTGTTTAACCATTTACAATAATTACATTTATTATTTTGTTATCATTTACTCAATGGTTGTCAAATCCTGTTAATGAATTCAAGCATGATTAGTCTATTTCAGTAAGAATTAATTTATTATAAAATAGGTCTTCGCTTTCGTTCCTCCTCGAAGAAAGACATAAATATAGTGGTGTATTGATTTTATTGATTGGTAGGGTATACTCACTAAATACGTGATCCCGTCATCAGTGCCCACGTCGTAGGGATAGAGATTGAGTTCCTTGTGTTCTATCCAGGTGCGATTAGCCTGACACAACTCCAAACCCGAAACGCCGACGATCCAGTCCGGGGAAGGATCTATAAAATGATTTTTCATGTTCGTATTGTACAACTACGATATAAGTTATGTTATATAAGTACATGTTACGGTGAATGTGATAAATGCGGCTTCATGTGGTGAAGTAGGATTAGGTGTAAACCTACTCTTTCCCTGTGTGACGGGGAATAAGAATACGTTCACAGTAATCCCTGCTTGTCGTAGGAGGCGACTAAAAGGGACGGGAGTGACTGCGGCTAGTGGCATCTGCAGTCACTCCTGTGGGGAGGCCATTCCGCTCCCCTCCGGAGACGGCACTGCATCATTGTATGGTGGAGAAGGCGCGGGGGTGGAAGGGCATCGGTAGAGTTCGAAACCCATCACCAAAAATTACTCCGAAACCTACTCAGACAGTATGTACATTAACGGTATTCAAAATTCCCGCCTCCTCCAACAACTATCCCAAACCTGATCAGACAGTATATGCAGCATTAATGATATTCAATATTGCAGCCACCACCAAAAACTACACCAAATATACTCAGACAGTATCTACATTAACGATATTCAATATTGCCGAGTCCATCAAAAACTATACCAAACCTACTCAGACAGTATCTACATTAACGATATTCAATATTCCCACCCCCACCAAAAACTATCCGAACCCACTCAGACAGTATTCCCGTGTAGACGCTATGTACGTCAACAGTACTCAAAATTGCCATACCACCATAAACTACCTTAGACCTACTCAGACAGTATCTGCATTAACGATATTCAATATTCCCGCACTCACCAATAACTATCCCAAACCTACTCAGACAGTATGTACATTAACGGTATTCAATATTGCTGTCGCCACCAAAAACTATCCCAAACTTACTCAGACAGTACATACATTAACAATATTCAATATTGCCGTCGCCACCTAAAGCTAGTCCAAACCTATTCAGACAGTATGTATATTAACGATATTCAATATTCCCGACCATACCAAAAACTATCCCAAACCTGCTCAGACAGTATTCCCGTGTAAACAGTATGCACATTAACGATATTCAATATTGCAGAGTCCACCAAAAACTACCCCAAACCTACTCAGACAGTACATAAACGATATTCAATATTCCCATCCCTACCAAAACCTATCCCAAACCTGCTCAGACAGTACTTCCATATACACAGCATATGCATTACCAAATTTATCGCATTCCTCATTACGATTTGGGGATTATATAAAATCACCGATTAATTTGATAAATATTCCATAATTTATCACATTTACCATTTAGTGGAGATTACGCATAATATAAATTTATTATATTTACTGTAACATGTACATTGTAAAACTACATATCGCAGAGCTAAGATACTACTAATTACTATATACTGCTCCTATATTATAAAATTGCAATATAAAAAGTGTAACATCAGTTAGAAGTATAGGTTTCAGTTACAGTCTTACCAAGCATAGATACTAAGGACATGAGATGGTGCTTCCGATCGACGCGAAAGACGGCAAAGGTTTTCCCGGTGACGTTGGGATAACTTATTCCTCTGGCTTTGATAATAGTCCTGATATGCTCACTCTATATTTAAAAAAAAAAAAAGATATCTGAATATCTCGATGCTCAGTCCTAAACATCAATGGTACCTTTCCCTACCACCTGGACAATTACCTGGTCTTTTAATTCCGATTCCAATTTTCTGGTCGACCCAAGTTCAGCCACTTGTCTTAATCCGGCACTGGCCATCCCGTTGTAGTTCCAGAATCTGTAATCTACCGTGTGCGAAGCCCCAATTACGTCCGAGAAACGAATCAGCCAGCCCTTGCTGGGAAAGTCCTGTTTCCAAGTAAACAGAAGAGAACGTGTAACCGATAAATTGGAAAAGAAGTCAGCTCTCTTGGGAACCGGAGAGCGGGCTTCTTTTCAATATCGAAGAATCGGTGCCTAAATAGGTGGGTCGATGGAGAAATTCCATACCCTCGAATTTCATTCGTTGAGGTCTTACGTGCCTTGGGGTGGGTGTTCCTGGACCAAAGTCCCTCGAAAGTAACTTCGTACTTGGCCTCGTCGCAGGCGTAGCACTCCTGCAACACCGGCCCCTGATCGTCCGCTTCTGCTTTCGAGTCTTGGCACAGCTTCGTGACTAAGCTCGGATCGTCCATGTACCAGGTATCCGGCGTTTCCAATATCGTTGCCCTGCGCTCCAGGAAAAAGGAAAAATTCGCGAGCATAATCAGCCCCGAGGCGTTATTGCAACATGTTCGTTATTAACTCGCTCTTTATTAACACTTTGAGTACCGGTTACTGCGAACTCAACCTTGCCTCGGTTCCTGCACATTTTCGATTCGTGAATACGTCTTGTTACCTACGTGACTTGTTACCTTCTATGAATGATTAATATACACCGGGAATTATTACTGTACAAATGTTGGTAAATTCTATATTAGAGTGTTCAACAACATTTAATAATAATAAATATTTTTAGTGGCACATTTTATCGTGGAACTATGGGTACGTTTAGATAGAGAAGCTCGGAAAAACTGTTCAATATATTAAAAATATAACAGAAACATAAATGACATAATTAATATTCATAGACTCGCAACTTTTATTAGATACTTATTTCTATTAATGCAATTTAAATATTTTATTAAACACTGTATTAAAACTTTGTTAGTATAACTGCCAATGATGTTAGTAGTAGTTCGGAAAAACTGTTCAATATATTAAAAACAAAACACAAACATAAATGACATAATTGATATTCATAGACTCGCAACTTTTATTAGATACTTATTTCTATTAATGCAATTTAAATATTTTATTAAACACTGTATTAAAACTTTGTTAGTATAACTGTCAATGATGTTAGCATAATTGCAGCCCGGTTCTCATTGTCTCTTCTATGCTACGTAGTATAACAATTTTTACAATCTAATCACAGATTCATCGTTTGATATTATTACCTTGTCCTTTTTTCTTAAAAATTTTAACCCTCGGGCGCCACGACAATCTTTCCCAGGGCGCCGATATCGCCGAAACCGGCACTGGTCTCTGGTCCTCAAAGTGTTAATTTAAAACTTTCCCGGAATACGGAGCGTGGGCATTGTCTGACCAAACGCGACTCGTAATCACTTTCGAGGATAAGTAGAAAGGGTTGGTAACGGTCAGACACGCGGTATACGTTTTCGTTAGTAGAATATCCCATTACCTGATAAATATGCAACCGCTACCTTCTGAAGGACTGGTCCAGGTCACGGAGATCTCCTCCTTGGGCACCTTCGAGGTCTCCACCACCGCGTTCGGGCAAATTTCCGAGTACCTGGTTAGCGATTCGTCGTAGAGATCGAAAATACCGCCGTTCGCGATTTCGTCTTCGGTTTCCGGCTCGCTGGATATCAGGAACCGCGTGAACTTTCGTGGTATCATTCCACTGTTGTCTGTTTGCACGGTCACTGAAACAAAAGATCGCGATCCTTTCGTGTTTACGTCACAAATTATTTTTTGTTTATCTTTTTTTTTTTTAACGATATTTTCATTCAGGCTGAAATAAGGTTTTGTAACGAAAATTTTAATTATGATTTTAACGACGATCATAACGAGCGTGCCACGCTGTTGCATTCGATGTATGTTGATTCTCGAATTGCAATTTTCGTCGATCTCTACTGCTTTGTTTTGCTTCGAGGTTAATTAAATAAACGCGCGTGTTTCTCTGACGCGTGTTGATTTCATGCTGAAAATTATTTCGTTATATACGCTCGAATAACGGTGGAAATAATATTATCGTAGCGAATATTTTGTGTTTGGCTGTTCCGCGAACGATTTGTGTTATAAAACGCGTTCTCTATCGCGATTCGCCTAGTTTTCGATGCTAGCCCGTGTTTCTATATACCCCATGTATCGAAGGAATTTTCGCTGAAAATAGAAATATGGAAGATCGCTATGAAGCGCGCTATTTATAACTTGGATTAAACACGATCCACGGTGGAACCAGTGAAATATCGCGAGCATGATCTTCTTTAATGGTTTAAGATCACCGTCATTGCAACAAGAGACAAATTAGATAGTCGAGTAATAAAATTGAAAATATGAAAAAATTGAAAAATTGAAAATTGTTCTGCGAAAGATCGCCAGGTACGCTTAAACTGCTAATCGCTCTCCAAGCAATTAATGTTTTCCAGCTGTTGAAAATTACGTCGACTGCGAGCTTCCCGGGATTAAAGCGACCGCTTGGTTTTCTTTGAGGCCCTCGCGTGAATTGTTCTCGAGCCGCTTCCGTTTCACTCCCCTCCTGTCTCGCTTAACACGAGCCGCGATGCACTCACGCGATGACAGCGGTATTTCCCAAACTGATTTTCCTCGACCATTTCGTCCACGGCAAATTCCGGAAAGTACAGTTTACGAAATTCTTGTTTAACGCCGGCGCTGTTACTCTCGTTTCTCGCCGTGAGGCGGCGCAATGGTGTACGCTATTTGATACACACGCGAGTGCGAACCACCGGTGGTACACGCCGTCTGATGAAACATATACGCGTGAGCCACCGGTGGTACACGCCGGCGCTACTATTTTTGTTTCTCGCCATGG